GAGATTTGTCATCCTTATCCCATCTATTTGTAAAAGGATGAGCTAAAACAGTAAAAGGTGGGGCATATTTCAGCTAAAGAATAAACTGCTGGTTTGAAGAAGAAATTTCTGTTCTGGTTAACCTGTGTGACATTCACGGGACACCAAAGCAAACCATAGACAAAAGGAGAAGCATCCCATGTTGCAATGTCCAGATTATCCTGTGGGATTTGATGGCCAAAAGATGCTGCTGAAAGCAGACTGGACACATAGAGGAAGTCCTCGGCTTATGACCACAATTAAGCCCCAAATTCACTTAACAACTGTCTTTGCTTAGCAATGGAAATTTGGGGCGCAGTTGTGGCTGCAGGACTACCTGCCTATGGAAAATGTTCCTGATGGTAGCGTCTAACCCAGAGCTCCCAAACTGTTCCAGGTTGGCGGCCCAGAGGGAAAGGGAGGAGCAGGGAAATGTGTACACGTGTGCCTGTGTGCATGCATGCGCAAACGTGCACGTGCACGGTGCTAGCGCCCGAGCGTATGCGCAAGTGAGCCACGTACCCAGGGCAGTGCTGGCAGCGGCACTGGTGCCCATGTGCATGTGCAAATGGTCCACTAGCGCCTGCGTGATGCTGGCGGCGGCCCTAGCGCCCGTGCACATGCGCAAATGCCGTTGCTAGCGCCTATGTGGCAGTGCTAGCGCGAGTGGGGGTGTGCGCGCACACTCACCAGTCATTCCCACAGCCTGGGGACCCCTGATCTAACCAACAGTTGGATGAGTGGGGTCCTTGGTGCTTTCACAGCTTGGTGGTTTTCTTGTAGACGTTTCATTACCAATCTAGGTAATGTCATCAGTGCTGGCTAGCTAGCTGGATGAGTAATATTCTGTGGGTTCTTCTGGGTTTTTTTTAACAAAAGGCATCTCTCAAAAGGTGGTTTTCATTGGTTTCCCTGCGCTTTTGTAGAGCACTGGAGATGTTCCAGATAGTCCCTTCCAAATCTGTTGCAGGTGATGCCGACATATATGTTGCCTTATTGGTGAGAAGGGCAGCACATCAATGTAATAAATAAATGTGTAGTGGGGTGCCCCAGGGCTGTGTTCTGGGCCCAGTGCTCCTCAATATCTTCATCAACGATTTGGGCGAGGGGATAGATGGGGAACTCATCAAATTTGCAGACGACACCAAGCTGGCAGGAATAGCCAACACTCCAGAAGACAGGCTTAGGATACAGGAGGATCTGGACAGACTTGAACACTGGGCGCTATCTAACAAAATGAAATCCAATGGTGAAAAAAGTAAGGTTCTATATTTAGGCAAGAAAAACCAAATGCACAGATATAGTATAGGTGGTACCTTGTTCAATAGTAGTAACTGTGAGAGGGATCTCGGACTCCTAGTAGACAATCCCTTAAATATGAGCCAGCAGTGTGCTGCAGCTGCCAAAAAGGCCAACACAGTGCTGGGCTGCATTAACAGAGGGATAGAATCAAGATCACGTGAAGTATTAATACCACTCTACAATGCCTTGGTAAGGCCACACTTGGAATACTGCATCCAGTTTTGGTCACCGCGATGTAAAAAAGATGTTGAGACTCTAGAAAGAGCACAGAGAAGAGCAACAAAGATGATTAGGGGACTGGAGGCCAAAGCATATAAGGAACGGCTGCTGGAATTGGGGATGTCTAGTTTAATGAAGAGAAGGACGAGGGGGGACATGATAGCAGTATTCCAATATCTCAGGGGCTGCCACAAAGAAGAGGGAGTCAAGCTATTTTCCAAAGCGCCTGAAGGCAGGACGAGAAGAAATGGATGGAAACTAATCAAGGAGAGAAGCAACCTGGAATTAAGGAGAAACTTCCTGACAGTTAGAACAATTAACCAGTGGAACAACCTGCCTCCAGAAGCGGTGAATGCTCCAACACTGGAAGTTTTTAAGAAGAGACTGGACAGCCATTTGTCTGAAATGGCATAGGGTTTCCTGCCTGAGCAGGGGGTTGGACTAGATGACCTCCAAGGTCCCTTCCAACTTTATTATTATT